TGGTGAGAGCTTGATGATTCGCCACTCAATTTCATCACAGCAGTAAATGTTATTGAGCTACATTTCCTATTGTACATCTTATTTTATTATCAGTTGCAGAATAAACAAGTCACCAAGTGTAGCTGCCCCATTGTCTTTTGGTTCATGGTATTCACACAGGTACTGTAACATTTAGAATTTGAGGAAGGAGGAGGAGGAGATGCGGTTGCCAGTGTGAGTTTGTCATGGCTGTCGCAGAAGGCCATTTTCAATAAAAGTGTGAACATTACAATAATAAAGATAAAATGTTGGGAAAATGTGTACCTTTGTTATTTCTTTTATTTTTTTTTACTATTGTAAAACATCCATGTGCTGCACAATTAGTTAAAGCGAAGATTATAGTCTTCGGTGCAAGAACAGGTGGATTTGAATCTTTACTCAGGCCTGGGGCCCTTGAGTATGGCGTTTAAATGTTCTCCCTTTATTTGCATCTGCTCTCAGTCTGGCAGCTTTACAATCTAAAAACGTGTTTGGTTGCTTTCAGACTTGCAGCTATAGATGTGAATGTGAGTGAACGGTTGTTGGTTGGAACCGATAAATACAATTTATTGGAACAGTTCACCATTGCCTTAAATGACATATGTCTAACTGGCGGAATGCGGCCCGTCACATCATTTAATGTGGCCCGCAAAAGCAATTCATAATGTAGTGCATTGCACTGAACTTTGATATTTTGTTTTGTTTTGTTTCAAGCTACTGTATATGGATTGTGATCCACACGTGTTCATTCATAAAAACACACTGTGTCAAATTCATGTTGTTTTGCTAAAAAGGTACTCTTAAGTATTTTATGTATTGTTTCCCAAAAAAATGATCAACGCTAGAAAATTTGCTGAAGATGTCAAAGTATAGTTACTGTCTCGCCGATTGAATTCAGTTTACAATTCCTTGTTACTGGTCCAGATGGTAGAATATTGAGAGTATACTGAAAAAAAGGAGGAGTTGGTCGAACACAGTATTAAAAAAAAGAGGTCTGCTGCGGGATACAAAACATCGTTACAACATAATAGACGTCACATCCGGATTTCCACGCTAGCTGTAGCGCTTGCAAAAGTTAAATGTGACAGCCGCGGACAAGTACGTGTCAAGAGAAGTTATAGATGCGTTCACGGTCGCTGTTGGCTTAAAATGCTTTCTTTGTCAACGGCCGTTCAACCCCTCAAATGAAGTCTCTGACTTGGTGCGGCAGCTTGGTAACTTCTACTTGGAAGAAGAGGAGGGTGGAGGTGAAGAGAATGAAGCGGAGTGCAGACCTTTCACAAGGCCTTTTGCACAGCAAGCAGGTATGATTTAAGCAGGGGCCAGGCTGATGCAAATACTTCTTTTAAATTGTCTTCACTTCACATTATGTGCACTGAGCCTAATGACTGATTGTCTTTCTTTGTTTAATCGGAAGAGCCGGTCAGTCCAAAGAAACCCGCAATGGAAGGCAAGTATTTTCATTATCAAGTAAATCAAGCAAATAATCAACTGCTGTTCAAAGTCAAATGATGTATGTGATGTGCAGTCTTACACATGTTGTGCGTTGCACTCGTTGCCCTTTTTGTTTTGTTGAAATATATTGTAAGGAGAATTAATACAACAGAGCTGTCTTCAGTATTTTGGCTGACATTGACACACATATTTCTGTGCAACCAACTCTGTAAGTCTGGAAATGAATGCACAGTGCTTACATTCTTCTTCGACATTCTTTGTTGTAGATTTAATCACAAGTTTTTCTGTGTCCCTTTACAGGCTATGGAGATCTGTGGGACGATATACAAAACTTCCAAGAAGAAGAAAGTAGCATGAGCTTTAATGGAGCGGAGGCAGTAGAATGCGAGGAGGATATCGGATATCTGAGAAAAGAAGAAATGGGTGAAGTGGACAATGTAGACGAGGAAGACAAGGCAGATGCAAAAGGCCAGCATGAACAGATTTTTCTTAAAAATGATGAACTGTACCTCCATCATTTTTTTTAGATGATTCCTGTCTTTCTTTTCCACTCTCGTCACAGGGTGGGGACTCGAGGCGAGGCCGCACGCGCCACAGGACACGACGTGGAGGTGTTGCACCAGGGGGTCCGGCAGCAGCGTGGAGCCGAGCATGTCGTCGTTGACCAACGGCACCCGCAGCTCCCTCGATAGTGAGGTGGAGGAGGAAGAGCTGGCCTACTCAAAACAACACGGCACATGCGGCCCCATCTACGTGGACTTTAATGGACGCTTGCTCGGTAACAACGTGCATTTGAGATACGACCGCGGACGTCATTGTATCAATGTATGGAGTGTTGTATTTGTACTCATGGAAACCATTAAGTTTGTTTATATTTGTTGCTTACATTATTTATTTTGTTCTTGTCTCACTGTTTCAGGTGTACTATTGTTAATCTGATTTACAGAACATAAACTACAGTGTAGTAAATTTCCGTTTTAGATCACAATGATGCTGTCAAGAAGAGCAACCATTTGGCAGACTCTGACAATGAGGAATTCTGTGATTCAATGGATGATCCGACCATGGGCAAGGTTTGTTGAAGGATTAGGTTCCACAATGTGGGAAATGTGCAGATTTTATTTTTGTTCTGGAAATGATCTGAGAAAGTTGCCTGCAGCTGTGAGACACTTTGCTCACAGCTGCAGTTGCACAGCTGCAACTGTAACACCTCGACATGATTTCATGTTTCTCCAACAAGCTTCTGTCTACGTCACAAATCCAGTCAGGCGGCTCAACATCTACCTTGGGGAAGGAGCACGATCTTTGGTTTGAGAGCTCCTCCGCCCTTAAAGCAGAAGACCGTTCACTTCGAGTCAATTCTTGCCATGAGGAGCCTCACAAACACGTTCGAGGTAAAGACACATGAAGTAAATGAAGTACACTGTCACTGTAGCCCGTTCTACAGCAAAACACAGTACTTAAAGTGCGTCGTAGCGAGCTCGCACACGATAGGTTAACCTGTCACTTTCTTCTTTATCTTTCAGAGTCTCCGTCAGCAAAGACTGCTTGCAGCTATCAACTGTGGTTGCGGACCTTTGACAGCGCGTCAGAGTGCACACGCCACAGCGCCGCTTCTTGGGCGAACGTCAATGAGCAAATAGTTAAGACACTTTTGAAATTGCAGGACGACATGAGCGATGCGCTGCATCGACTGCACACTTTAGAGGGGCTCACTGTGGCACAGGTAAAGCTCCGAAGCTTTCAAAGAAGGTGTACTGTAGATTTTGCTGCTCTACAAAGTACATTGTCAGAAGAGTAAACCTTGATAACACAATGTGATTTTTTTTTAATGCAATTAATTTGATCTTCTTCCTAATGACAATATAACCACTGTAAATGGTGACACTAGACACAACATACTCACACAAAAAAACCCTCTTATGATCAGAATAAGAAATATACTTTTAAAAAATTGAAAATTTAGCCTAACTTTCAGAGAGGTTATAATTGCCAATATGCTGCGGTTGTTATTTGCAGTGGCGTAGAACTGGACAAAGCAGCATACAACGGCAATCAAAATTGAACATTTTTATCTTGCATTTTTTTGGGTGTTTGGTCTCATTCGATCGTCCCGTTGTTTTTTTGTTTTTTTAAACCCGTATTTCTGTATTTCACCATTTCAAGTCAAGCTCATCCTTATCGAGGTGTGCAGATACTCCACCTGTAGCACAAAAGGTATTCACACACAATTTCCATTGGAGTGTTTCATTTGAAAGATTGACAGTTAATGGTCATGTTAATCACTGGGACCCGATGAGAGTATATTTTTCTGTTTCTCGACAGTTTTTCACACCTTCTTGGTGGCCGTTTGACCATTCTCCAATTACCATGATGATGACAGCACTTTGGCCTGCAATTGCATTTGGTCTGGTCCAGCTTTATTCACGGCGAAAGCGACGGTAAGCGTGATGCTGATTTTGGTACAGTATGTCTTGGTGTTTTGTTTTTACTTCATAAACAAATATAATGTAGTCTTGTTCCAGGAAAATCACTTGACGTAATCGTTGTCGTTCAACATCATGACCCCTGGGTGATATAGCTGCACTCTTGTTTCTCTCTGACAGATGAAGCATCGTGGAACAGCTTTAACTAGAATAGGCATGATGAAACTATCAAGATTTAAACATTTGGTGAGAGCTTGATGATTCGCCACTCAATTTCATCACAGCAGTAAATGTTATTGAGCTACATTTCCTATTGTACATCTTATTTTATTATCAGTTGCAGAATAAACAAGTCACCAAGTGTAGCTGCCCCATTGTCTTCTGGTTCATGGTTTTTACACAGGTACTGTAACATTTAGAATTTGAAGAAGGACGAGGAGGAGCTGCGGTTGCCAGTGTGAGTTTGTCATGGCTGTCGCAGAAGGCCATTTTCAATAAAAGTGTGAACATTACAATAATAAAGATAAAATGTTGGGAAAATGTGTACCTTTGTAATTAAAAAAAATTTTTACTATTGTAAAACATCCATGTACTGCACAATTAGTTAAAGCGAAGATTATAGTCTTCGGTGCAAGAACAGGTGGATTTGAATCTTTACTCAGGCCTGGGGCCCTTGAGTATGGCGTTTAAATGTTCTCCCTTTATTTGCATCTGCTCTCAGTCTGGCAGCTTTACAATCTAAAAACGTGTTTGGTTGCTTTCAGACTTGCAGCTATAGATGTGAATGTGAGTGAACGGTTGTTGGTTTCTAGGTGTCAGTCAGTATTAAAATAGGTACAGTATTTATTATCCCTATTGATGCTCATTGATGTCATTTCTAGTGTATGGTGCCAGTTATCATTTGTCCAGTTGACTGTAATGTAGTGCATTGCACTGAACTTTGATATTTTGTTTTGTTTTGTTTCAAGCTACTGTATATGGATTGTGATCCACACGTGTTCATTCATAAAAACACACAAAATGAATCTCAGAGGAAGTGCGAGAAGAACTGCGGAAAAAAAAGAGGTCTGCTGCGGGATACAAAACATCGTTACAACATAATAGACGTCACATCCGGATTTCCACGCTAGCTGTAGCGCTTGCAAAAGTTAAATGTGACAGCCGCGGACAAGTACGTGTGAAGAGAAGTTATTTAGATGCGTTCACGGTCGCTGTTGGCTTAAAATGCTTTCTTTGTCAACGGCCGTTCAACCACAGGTAAGAACGCATTGGATGTTTGTCACGCTAATAATAGGAGAGTGTTTATTTGTCTCTAACCTTTAGAAGTTGAGCCTGTTAGCTAGCTAACCTTAACTACTGTATAGCTTTCAAACTCATCCTGCTACATTTGCTTACGTAGCAGCGTTTAGTATTGTTCTACTTTAAAAAAAAAATTAACGTATCTACATTATCAGAATATTGCCCGTAAGATGCGGTAATTTAATTTACGTGACGTGCGTGATCGTTGCGCGATGGAGTGAGGGGGGGAGCCAGATGATGGGTTATTGAAGGCTAAACTACCCAAGCAGATTTGACTATGCAAAGCATTTTGAGCATCCATCGGTATCAGTGCTATTAAGAGGATCGTTCACGTACTAGTCCGCCTTTTGTCCTCACTGTAGACAATTGAGCGCACTGAAACGAATGTGTCTTACTGGTGATGTTTTTGGCACTACTGTATGACATACGGTGTATGTTTCTGCACACTTGTAGGACAATTTGGCATCCTCCCATTGAGGGGGCGATCTATAGCCTTGCTTTGAACTCGTTTTGTTATCTTATAATAGAGCTTTCCATGTGTAAGACGCAGCCTAGTTGGAATGTTACCCAAATAAAGTCCCCTTCTAACCTTAACCCAATAATCCAATGGGCAGTTTCAATCACACTGGCCCAATAGGGTGAAATCTTAATTCCCCCCAAAATATGGAAGCGGCCATCTGTTGCCCCCCCACATTTCCTCCAGCGGCAGTGGGATTAATATTGCATTTGTGGAATATGAATTACCGTAAGAAGCAAAATCCAACCTTGTTGCATGTTGTCTTGAGAGGGAAAACATTTCATCTTACAGCACATTTGACAATAAAGTTGTACTTGACTTCTGACAGATGAAGCATCGTGGAACAGCTTTAACTAGAATAGGCATGATGAAACTATCAAGATTTAAACATTTGGTGAGAGCTTGCTGAGATGGATGGAGTGGGTTTTGCTGTCTTAATATTCCACAAATGCAAAATTAATCCGAATGCCAAGTTTAGTTTAGCGTGGGGGCATAAAACATATTATTGGAAAGAGAATTTTTGACTTCTCCTTTTAATGGGGCAAACATTAATCTTTCTTGTTTTCTTGAAATGGCAGGTGACTGTTCCCCTGAGTCACCTCCTCAATGTTCTCCACGCTTTGAAGAGCTCAGTTGGAAGCAGCAGCACCTTAAGCAAATCAAGACTACCCAATGAGCATGCCTGTCAGGCAGAACTACATTATCCTGAGGTAATAATGCCCAGTGATACATTTTTGGATACTACCTGCAATATTGATAAGGATGACATTGATAATGAAAGTTGTGCGTACAGCCCCTGTGGAACCTGCGGGACCTTGGCCTGTCTGACCTCGGAACGCAGCAGCTGAACGAGTTGGCGATTAGGGTGTTACCATGTTTGAATTCACAGGAAGCACCAGCCCCGATAGTGGGCAGTCGGACAATCTGGCGAACGTCTCACCTTTCCACGCACTCTTTTTTCCTAAACAAGCATGGTGAGTTTTGGTAGTTTTTGCTCTGACGAGATCGACCACTGTTCATGTTATCCTCTTAGTATAAATGTTGTGTAATTGTCTCTCAAATATGCATAATTCAACATTGATGGTTAAAGAAGAGGCAAAATACGTTATAAATCAAAATATCGGATTTGCATGAAGTCATCCAATACTGGGCCTGTTGTACCCAAATGCACGTAGACATTTTAATCTTCCGCCTGCAATTTCCATAAGTTAAGGTGACCGTAAAATGCCTGTTGCTAATTACCACCTGTCCTTGTTGCTAGGGTTTTCTTCTCAGCGGATGTCAGCTCCACTTTATTCCAGGCAAAGGCCGTCTCCTCTTCAGTCAGTCTGCAAAGAGCTGCAACACTGTTCAGGTGACACACACGAGTTCACCTACTTATCGACATTCACTGCTAGTCCAGCTCAAATCATGGACCTTTGACATCTCAATGGCAGTGAATGAGTTAACCCAAACCCAGAAAATGATGTAAAAAATGTTGCCTTTATATTTTCAAAGTGTGGATCCAGCACAGAGGCTTTAAAACATTAAGGAGCAAAACCAAAAGACTGCAGTCAGCTATTGAACGCCCTGTGGAACCTGAGGGATTCCCTCCATCTTTCATGAAGGTAAAATGCTACTTGGAGCTGTCTTTCTATGAATGATACAGACTTTTAAGTTTCAGCACTAAAATTGTCTCACTGATATCACAATTGACAATGATGCAATTATTTTTGGGTACGTTTGAAGCATGTCACACTTGTGTACTATGCATTTTACACAAAAGGCTGGAAATTTTACTTGAATTTATTCTGTAACGCTGCAATTCTTTCCCTGCATTCATTCATCTTAAGTGAAGTCAACTTATATGTAAGGGCCAATAAATGTGAATTGCTATCATTCACTTATAAATATCTCATTCGAATAGGGCTTCCTGACACGAGACAAGGGGATCGATATGGAAAGTCTTGAAAGTCTAACGAAGAGTGGGAACGTACCCGATGGACAGCAGGATGCCTTTAAGAGGGGCTTTGCTGAGGGTTTCCTGAAGGCCCAAACACTGACGCAACGCACACAAGGTAAGTAAAAACGGATGAATTACATTTCCCTTAGTGCACACGAATAGTTACTTTCATGAATAATGTCACAAGCTGCTTTACCTGGTTCATGGTTTTTACACAGGTACTGTAACATTTAGAATTTGAAGAAGGACGAGGAGGAGCTGCGGTTGCCAGTGTGAGTTTGTCATGGCTGTCGCAGAAGGCCATTTTCAATAAAAGTGTGAACATTACAATAATAAAGATAAAATGTTGGGAAAATGTGTACCTTTGTAATTAAAAAAAATTTTTACTATTGTAAAACATCCATGTACTGCACAATTAGTTAAAGCGAAGATTATAGTCTTCGGTGCAAGAACAGGTGGATTTGAATCTTTACTCAGGCCTGGGGCCCTTGAGTATGGCGTTTAAATGTTCTCCCTTTATTTGCATCTGCTCTCAGTCTGGCAGCTTTACAATCTAAAAACGTGTTTGGTTGCTTTCAGACTTGCAGCTATAGATGTGAATGTGAGTGAACGGTTGTTGGTTTCTAGGTGTCAGTCAGTATTAAAATAGGTACAGTATTTATTATCCCTATTGATGCTCATTGATGTCATTTCTAGTGTATGGTGCCAGTTATCATTTGTCCAGTTGACTGAAATGTAGTGCACTGCACTGAACTTTGATTTTTTTGTTTGTTTGTTTGTTTCAAGCTACTGTATATGTATTGTGATCCACACGTGTTCATTCATAAAAACACACAAAATGAATCTCAGAGGAAGTGCGAGAAGAACTGCGGGGAAAAAAAGAGGTCTGCTGCAGGATACAAAACATCGTTACAACACAATGACGTCACATCCGGATTTCCACGCTAGCTGTCTCGCTTGCAAAAGTTAAATGTGACAGCCGCGGACAAGTACGTGTGAAGAGAAGTTATTTAGATGCGTTCACGGTCGCTGTTGGCTTAAAATGCTTTCTTTGTCAACGGCCGTTCAACCACAGGTAAGAACGCATTGGATGTTTGTCACGCTAATAATAGGAGAGTGTTTATTTGTCTCTAACCTTTAGAAGTTGAGCCTGTTAGCTAGCTAACCTTAACTACTGTATAGCTTTCAAACTCATCCTGCTACATTTGCTTACGTAGCAGCGTTTAGTATTGTTCTACTTTAAAAAAAAAATTAACGTATCTACATTATCAGAATATTGCCCGTAAGATGCGGTAATTTAATTTACGTGACGTGCGTGATCGTTGCGCGATGGAGTGAGGGGGGGAGCCAGATGATGGGTTATTGAAGGCTAAACTACCCAAGCAGATTTGACTATGCAAAGCATTTTGAGCATCCATCGGTATCAGTGCTATTAAGAGGATCGTTCACGTACTAGTCCGCCTTTTGTCCTCACTGTAGACAATTGAGCGCACTGAAACGAATGTGTCTTACTGGTGATGTTTTTGGCACTACTGTATGACATACGGTGTATGTTTCTGCACACTTGTAGGACAATTTGGCATCCTCCCATTGAGGGGGCGATCTATAGCCTTGCTTTGAACTCGTTTTGTTATCTTATAATAGAGCTTTCCATGTGTAAGACGCAGCCTAGTTGGAATGTTACCCAAATAAAGTCCCCTTCTAACCTTAACCCAATAATCCAATGGGCAGTTTCAATCACACTGGCCCAATAGGGTGAAATCTTAATTCCCCCCAAAATATGGAAGCGGCCATCTGTTGCCCCCCCACATTTCCTCCAGCGGCAGTGGGATTAATATTGCATTTGTGGAATATGAATTACCGTAAGAAGCAAAATCCAACCTTGTTGCATGTTGTCTTGAGAGGGAAAACATTTCATCTTACAGCACATTTGACAATAAAGTTGTACTTGACTTGACTTTTTAATCCATTTTAGAGGAGGCCATTTTGCCACTTGCTGTCGACCGAAAATGACATCACAGTAACTAAGGGCTCAAGTAACGACCAGTCATGACTCACCTCTTTTCTAGGTTTAATCATGTGACATTTACAAGCTGAGCCTTTCGCCACTGTGATGGTCATTTTCAGTCAACAGCAAGTGGCAAAATGGCCGGCACCTGAGATGGATGGAGTGGGTTTTGCTGTAATTAAAAAAAATTTTTACTATTGTAAAACATCCATGTACTGCACAATTAGTTAAAGCGAAGATTATAGTCTTCGGTGCAAGAACAGGTGGATTTGAATCTTTACTCAGGCCTGGGGCCCTTGAGTATGGCGTTTAAATGTTCTCCCTTTATTTGCATCTGCTCTCAGTCTGGCAGCTTTACAATCTAAAAACGTGTTTGGTTGCTTTCAGACTTGCAGCTATAGATGTGAATGTGAGTGAACGGTTGTTGGTTTCTAGGTGTCAGTCAGTATTAAAATAGGTACAGTATTTATTATCCCTATTGATGCTCATTGATGTCATTTCTAGTGTATGGTGCCAGTTATCATTTGTCCAGTTGACTGAAATGTAGTGCACTGCACTGAACTTTGATTTTTTTGTTTGTTTGTTTGTTTCAAGCTACTGTATATGTATTGTGATCCACACGTGTTCATTCATAAAAACACACAAAATGAATCTCAGAGGAAGTGCGAGAAGAACTGCGGGGAAAAAAAGAGGTCTGCTGCAGGATACAAAACATCGTTACAACACAATGACGTCACATCCGGATTTCCACGCTAGCTGTCTCGCTTGCAAAAGTTAAATGTGACAGCCGCGGACAAGTACGTGTGAAGAGAAGTTATTTAGATGCGTTCACGGTCGCTGTTGGCTTAAAATGCTTTCTTTGTCAACGGCCGTTCAACCACAGGTAAGAACGCATTGGATGTTTGTCACGCTAATAATAGGAGAGTGTTTATTTGTCTCTAACCTTTAGAAGTTGAGCCTGTTAGCTAGCTAACCTTAACTACTGTATAGCTTTCAAACTCATCCTGCTACATTTGCTTACGTAGCAGCGTTTAGTATTGTTCTACTTTAAAAAAAAAATAAACGTATCTACATTATCAGAATATTGCCCGTAAGATGCGGTAATTTAATTTACGTGACGTGCGTGATCGTTGCGCGATGGAGTGAGGGGGGGAGCCAGATGATGGGTTATTGAAGGCTAAACTACCCAAGCAGATTTGACTATGCAAAGCATTTTGAGCATCCATCGGTATCAGTGCTATTAAGAGGATCGTTCACGTACTAGTCCGCCTTTTGTCCTCACTGTAGACAATTGAGCGCACTGAAACGAATGTGTCTTACTGGTGATGTTTTTGGCACTACTGTATGACATACGGTGTATGTTTCTGCACACTTGTAGGACAATTTGGCATCCTCCCATTGAGGGGGCGATCTATAGCCTTGCTTTGAACTCGTTTTGTTATCTTATAATAGAGCTTTCCATGTGTAAGACGCAGCCTAGTTGGAATGTTACCCAAATAAAGTCCCCTTCTAACCTTAACCCAATAATCCAATGGGCAGTTTCAATCACACTGGCCCAATAGGGTGAAATCTTAATTCCCCCCAAAATATGGAAGCGGCCATCTGTTGCCCCCCCACATTTCCTCCAGCGGCAGTGGGATTAATATTGCATTTGTGGAATATGAATTACCGTAAGAAGCAAAATCCAACCTTGTTGCATGTTGTCTTGAGAGGGAAAACATTTCATCTTACAGCACATTTGACAATAAAGTTGTACTTGACTTGACTTTTTAATCCATTTTAGAGGAGGCCATTTTGCCACTTGCTGTCGACCGAAAATGACATCACAGTAACTAAGGGCTCAAGTAACGACCAGTCATGACTCACCTCTTTTCTAGGTTTAATCATGTGACATTTACAAGCTGAGCCTTTCGCCACTGTGATGGTCATTTTCAGTCAACAGCAAGTGGCAAAATGGCCGGCACCTGAGATGGATGGAGTGGGTTTTGCTGTCTTAATATTCCACAAATGCAAAATTAATCCGAATGCCAAGTTTAGTTTAGCGTGGGGGCATAAAACATATTATTGGAAAGAGAATTTTTGACTTCTCCTTTTAATGGGGCAAACATTAATCTTTCTTGTTTTCTTGAAATGGCAGGTGACTGTTCCCCTGAGTCACCTCCTCAATGTTCTCCACGCTTTGAAGAGCTCAGTTGGAAGCAGCAGCACCTTAAGCAAATCAAGACTACCCAATGAGCATGCCTGTCAGGCAGAACTACATTATCCTGAGGTAATAATGCCCAGTGATACATTTTTGGATACTACCTGCAATATTGATAAGGATGACATTGATAATGAAAGTTGTGCGTACAGCCCCTGTGGAACCTGCGGGACCTTGGCCTGTCTGACCTCGGAACGCAGCAGCTGAACGAGTTGGCGATTAGGGTGTTACCATGTTTGAATTCACAGGAAGCACCAGCCCCGATAGTGGGCAGTCGGACAATCTGGCGAACGTCTCACCTTTCCACGCACTCTTTTTTCCTAAACAAGCATGGTGAGTTTTGGTAGTTTTTGCTCTGACGAGATCGACCACTGTTCATGTTATCCTCTTAGTATAAATGTTGTGTAATTGTCTCTCAAATATGCATAATTCAACATTGATGGTTAAAGAAGAGGCAAAATACGTTATAAATCAAAATATCGGATTTGCATGAAGTCATCCAATACTGGGCCTGTTGTACCCAAATGCACGTAGACATTTTAATCTTCCGCCTGCAATTTCCATAAGTTAAGGTGACCGTAAAATGCCTGTTGCTAATTACCACCTGTCCTTGTTGCTAGGGTTTTCTTCTCAGCGGATGTCAGCTCCACTTTATTCCAGGCAAAGGCCGTCTCCTCTTCAGTCAGTCTGCAAAGAGCTGCAACACTGTTCAGGTGACACACACGAGTTCACCTACTTATCGACATTCACTGCTAGTCCAGCTCAAATCATGGACCTTTGACATCTCAATGGCAGTGAATGAGTTAACCCAAACCCAGAAAATGATGTAAAAAATGTTGCCTTTATATTTTCAAAGTGTGGATCCAGCACAGAGGCTTTAAAACATTAAGGAGCAAAACCAAAAGACTGCAGTCAGCTATTGAACGCCCTGTGGAACCTGAGGGATTCCCTCCATCTTTCATGAAGGTAAAATGCTACTTGGAGCTGTCTTTCTATGAATGATACAGACTTTTAAGTTTCAGCACTAAAATTGTCTCACTGATATCACAATTGACAATGATGCAATTATTTTTGGGTACGTTTGAAGCATGTCACACTTGTGTACTATGCATTTTACACAAAAGGCTGGAAATTTTACTTGAATTTATTCTGTAACGCTGCAATTCTTTCCCTGCATTCATTCATCTTAAGTGAAGTCAACTTATATGTAAGGGCCAATAAATGTGAATTGCTATCATTCACTTATAAATATCTCATTCGAATAGGGCTTCCTGACACGAGACAAGGGGATCGATATGGAAAGTCTTGAAAGTCTAACGAAGAGTGGGAACGTACCCGATGGACAGCAGGATGCCTTTAAGAGGGGCTTTGCTGAGGGTTTCCTGAAGGCCCAAACACTGACGCAACGCACACAAGGTAAGTAAAAACGGATGAATTACATTTCCCTTAGTGCACACGAATAGTTACTTTCATGAATAATGTCACAAGCTGCTTTACTTGTCCGGTTTCTGCCACAAATACATATTCATACATACATTACACACTCACTTTATCACAGTCCAAATGAAGTCTCTTTCATACTTCCCCTTAAAGTTTGCTCCCGCTATTGGCGTTGTTCTGTATAAAATAAATTGACACAGAATGGGACTCACTTTTCCCGCCCCCGTTGTGGTGAATTGGGTGTGTTTGTTTGGATCGTACGTATAGTATTCATCACATTTGTGCGGACATCACCATGGATCCAACGATCTGTTTGCATGAAGCTGCCTTGCCACATGAAGGCACACAGAGTCGCTTCAATGTGTCGTTTTCTTGGATTCCGTGTGGCAGGCACAGGAGAATAATTGCCTGTGCCAGTGTTGCAGCAACTCTGTGGAAAGTTGAATATCTCCATGCATCCAACTGTTTAGACTCCCTGAGACGGAATCGGCTCATCTTGTTGGTGTTACTTCTTGTCGGGCTCTACGGCATCTCAAAGATCCCCTTCATATCAGGTAAAAAGTCCCTCTCCCTTTCAGACTCATCTTTTTACTATGGAAATAGTAACAATAATAATGTTCCAATATGACTGTAATTATTGTGCAGCATGTTAACCCTAAAAGTATTCTCTTATGTGAACTGAAAGACAATGTCTACTTGTTGTGCAGAGTGATTTCGAACTTCCCGTTTTTCACAGTGCGGTTCCGAACCACAACAGGCCTGGACTCCTCAGTGGATCCTGTCCAGATGAAAAATGTGACATTTGAGCATGTCAAAGGCGTTGAAGAAGCAAAAAACGAGCTGCAGGAAGTGGTTGAGTTTCTGAAGAACCCTCAGAAGTTCACAACCCTGGGGGGTAAACTGCCAAAAGGTCAGATCAATGAAATCAACGGTCCAACAAAATAGTGTCGGAAATCATTGAATCAAGTGCAAAGGGATCATCGATGTATTTCCCTTATTTTTCTTTCTCCCTTTTTCCACATAACTCTTTAGGTGTCCTTCTGGTTGGCCCACCGGGGACCGGAAAGACTTTACTCGCCAGAGCGGTGGCAGGAGAAGCAGATGTCCCATTCTACTATGCCTCTGGGTCGGAGTTTGATGAGATGTTTGTTGGCGTCGGAGCCAGCCGCATCAGGAATCTTTTCAGTATGTCTTTTTATCAGGATTTGTCAAATACCTTCCACTTTGAATTGCTTGAAAAACTATAGAATCACTCGCACTGAATGGCCGACTGTTCTTGTTGGTCCTGTCCAGGGGAGGCGAAAGCTAACGCTCCCTGCGTTATCTTTATTGATGAACTGGACAGTGTGGGCGGAAAGAGGATTGAGTCTCCCATGCATCCTTACTCCAGACAGACCATCAATCAACTGCTTGCTGAGATGGATGGGTAATTGCTTGAATGATCATGTATATATCTTCACGGAAATGAAATATTTACTTTTAAAAGTCAAGTATGAAGCTACTTGGTGATGTTGATCCTCACTTACTTGCCTTCCTGACTAAAAACTAGAACGGTACATCCGTCCTCTCCTACCCAAGCATTCCATATTTTGTTCGGTATAGGGGGGAAAAAAATGCTGTTTTTATTTACCCAAATATTAAATCAAAAAATTTTAGAGCCGTAATTTTAATACTGTGTGTCAGTGATACATGTGTTCACGGCACATGCCTACTGTGGAATTGTGACTACATTTTCATTGATTTCGTTTTTTGACAGAAATAAGTAGCCAGAATACAAAAGAGCATTCAAATCGAATGCATTCACCGCCACAATGCTTAATTGACTCGTCATTTTCATTAAATCGTTATGTTGAAGATTCAAACCAAATGAAGGAGTCATCATAATTGGAGCCACGAACTTCCCGGAGGCTTTAGATAAGTATGTTCACATTCTGCACATGCACAGAAAAATGTGTCAAGTGTCGTGCGGAAAGGAACCGTATGTAAGCTGTTGATGTTCTCCTTTAGCGCCCTCATCCGCCCGGGCCGATTTGACATGCAGGTGACCGTCCCTAAACCAGACGTGAAAGGACGAACCGAGATTCTCAACTGGTACCTCAGGAAGATTAAAGTGGATCCAGGTGTGGCATGAACATCCGCAAATCGGCGTATTGCTGCATGCGGGTGCTATCATTGGAACGCTTGGGTAGATTAATCAGTATCATTCTCTTGCAGCCATCGAGGCGAAGATTATTGCGCGGGGCACCGTGGGATTCTCTGGCGCTGACTTGGAAAATCTGGTCAACCAGGCTGCCCTGAAAGCAGCAGTCGATGGTAAAGACATGGTCACCATGAAGGAGCTGGAGTTTGCCAAGGACAAAATTCTCATGGGTGAGTCCAGTTGCTGAGCTCTCCAACAATGTCAAGACAGTGAACTGTATCAATATGGAGGTGTATTTTTGCAGCTCTTATGACTTCTTCCAATGCATTAATGACCACCAATCGGCACACATCCCCCCAAAAATAATGAAACCTTCCTTTAATTAAGGTCCCGAGAGAAGGAGTGCCGAAATCGACAAGAAGAACAAGATCATCACAGCATACCATGAATCCGGCCATGCTATTGTGGCTTATTACACCAAAGACGCCATGCCTATTAACAAAGCCACTATCATGCCAAGGGGCCCCAGTCTCGGACATGTAAGTCAATCAAACACTTGTGCTGTATGCATCAAAACACATGTGATGCAAAAAAAACAAAAAAAAAAACGTATTGTCTTTACCTCACCTTCATTTTGTAGGTGTCATTGCTGCCAGAGAATGATCGCTGGAGTGAGACACGCTCTCAGTTGCTGGCTCAGATGGATGTCAGCATGGGAGGGCGAGTTGCTGAGGAGATCATATTTGGGCATGAGTATATCACAACAGGTTAGAAGTTGAAACATTCAAATTAATGATAGAGTCACACAGATGATTGAAGTCGTGATCAAGAACGTTTTTTCTCTTTCGGTGTCTTTTCTTCTCTAGGAGCATCAAGTGACTTTGATAGTGCCACCAAGATTGCAAAGATGATGGTGACAAGATTTGGAATGTGTGAAAAGGTGAGCTGATTCGAAAGAAACGCCCAAACGTTCGGGCTGTTTTATTCATTTGTGATGTGTGTTCACGTGTTTTCATTTCTCCTCATCTGCCATCACAGTTAGGTGTGATGACCTACACGAACATGACAGAACAAAGTCCAGAGACTCAAGCAGCTGTAGAGAATGAAGTCAGAGTTTTGTTGCGGGTATGTACGACTCTTAAAGACTGATGATGAAAACAGGACCATTATATCCTTCTACCTTTTCTAAATTGACATGGTCTTCTTTCGACCAGGAGTCTTACGAGCGAGCCAAAGCCCTCTTGAGGTCTCATGCCAAAGAGCACAAGAACCTTGCCGATGCGCTGCTGTTGTATGAGACGCTGGATGCCAAAGAGATTCAGCTGGTCTTGGAGGGGAAGACCCTGGAGACCAGATGAAGGCAGCCGGGGAGACACAACAAAGGAGGGCTGGTTTGGGATTTTCCAAGGACTCAGGGCTGGCGGAAAATAGCTGCGAATCTGTCTTAGAAAACGTTAGTGCTTACATGCTCATTTACTAAATTGCTAAAGTGTGGTAAAGTTCAAACTTGTGCATTAACATAGTGAATTATCTGCTTGATGTGCTGAAACCTCCTCGATATACACTGAGTCATCATGCTGGCCGAATAGTAAATACACGTTTTGAATATTGCTCGGGACACTCAGTTGGTACATGATTGTAAATACTCATCACAACCATAAAAAGCTGCTGGCTGTGATGATCTTGTAAATTACAGAGAATTAAGAAAGCATTAGGAGCCAATCCTCAAATTCTTGACTCGTACTGTATGTCTGTTATCTACTTGTCTTTGTGTGTGTTTGTCATCTATTGCTCAAAGGCTGGTTGGCCAAACTACTGCCTACCTAATTTTTCAATCGGATGGCCCTTGAGGAATGTATTTTAGGTGAGGTTTATCTATTATGAAATCAAATTTTGTCCCGTGACTACAAATGAAACATACCTGTACATGTTGTGTGTCCAAATGTGACATAAGCTGCTAGTGAGTGGCAAGAAACTGCAACTGTGTGTAGGGCACTACACCAGTTTGTAAAATACTTACTGAGCCCAGTTTTAGCTTTTTACAATATTGATTCATCTGGGGCGAAAACCTGGTTCATATGTCAATTTTAGTTTTATGGGTCTTATTTTTTTTCCCTTTTAATGTGTAGGGTATATTTGTATTTTTGGCCTTTCCCCATGCATAGCTGTATATAAGATTGGTATCTAATAGCAGGATGGTAAATAGATCTCTATATAAGTATGCGTGAGTGCGTGCGTGTACAGTGTGTGTGTGTGTGTGTGTGTGTGTGTGTGTGTGTGTGTGTATATATATATATATATA